TGGCTTTTGCAGCTTTGTGTATCAGCCACCATGCAAAACACTTACTCCAAGTTATCTGGCAACTGTAAATCTTCCTGAAAACACTCCTTCTATTTTTATTTTGCACATCTCAGTGGTTGAGGAGCATAAATAAATATTGTAATATGAGGGCACTCTTTCTTTCCAGTTCTTTCCACCGTAAGAGGAAATATGGTCAGCAGCCTCTACAGCTGCCTGTGAAGGGTCCTTAACTCCAACACATCCACTTTAGCCAGTCAGGCTAAAAGTTTGCAGACTAGTACAAGTCTAATAGCTTTCCTGTGTCCTTTTTCCACTCTATTTCCTCTAGTCAAATGTATTAATACCTCTTCTCAGCAATTTGTTATTGGTTCCACAGTTAGTAGCTGGCTTGAATAAACACAGTGTTGGTAGTTTCAGCTCACAGAGTTTCTTAATCTGTACAAGTTCTTAAAAATAACTCATTTCTTAGCTCATGTCACTTTCAATCCATTTGGCCTCCTACCAGATAGATCAGATAACCACAGTCATAAAACCTAGGGCCTGAGGCTGGTGGCCTGAGGCAGACGGATTTCTGCCTAAAAACAGATTTTCTTTGCCACTGCTGTACTGACAGCCACATACCCTCCCTCCCATCACCTGTTTACTGCTGCTCTTAGGTTTTTCGCTAACACAAACACCCAGCTCAGCCAATACAGCCAGCCAACTGCTGCCATATTCAGACATGTATTATCTGGTGTGTGGATTAGTTGGAGTAATGACTGCTCTGACTATGCTATTCTCATTTTGTAAGCCACTAACATCTGATGCCAGCATCATTATCATCCAGCATCAAGCTACAGTTAGCCCACAAATGCTCACTCTCCTAGTATGGATGCTTTGGTTTGTTTTACAGGCACCAGATGCCTGCTGTTCTTTGTCCAACCCCCTCCTACAGGTAGAGCAACAGCCTTCCCAGGCTCAGAAGGAGAAGCTTATCCTCACTGAAGGCTGAGCAGAACTTCCAGTTATCTTTGGTGGTCCACACGTTAACAAGCTGTAACAAGGTAAAACCACTTTCTCTTAAATTCAGGGCACCATGACTGCAGACCTCACACAATTAAGTTGTATCCTGTAGGTGCCTTACAGGGCCCAGCTGAGCTGCTACAACAGGCTCGCTTCTTAGGGAACAGCCACATTTAATTACCCTCCTTAGCCCTTCTTCCATCTGCTCCTGGATTTTTTAGGCTAGCTCTGCTGCAAGAATGTGCTTGTCTGCAGAAGCACTCGGGCCTGTTTCCTAATGCTGCCTATCTCACAAGTAATCAGAATTTGCCAGGTTGGGCTCAAAGGAAATGGTACATTATGAGTGGGCCTCCTGCCCTACTCTGGAGCCAAATTAAAAAGACAAACATATCTTAAGTGCTTTAATCAAACAGTAATTACAAGAGAAACAATACAGACTCAGAGCAAGTCCACATTGTCTTTAGCAGGCAGAGGCAAGCAAGCTCTGTCCCTGTTCTGAACCAATGGGATCAGAGCCAAAACTTCCAAATCTCATGCAGTCATGCCTGTACAGCAGAGCTTGAGCGAACACACCTTGTCTCTCAATAAGACTCACTAGCCAGAGTACAGCACTGCATTGACGACAGCTCATGGCTTCCAGTTCAAGGCTGAGTCATGTCTGGTTCTTTATTTTTGTCTTTCAAAAGAATAGTTCCAGCCCTGCTCCTGGCCACTGAGTTCGTATTAATTTCTGTGGGTTTATAAACACTGTCCAACTCTGAACCAGCCTTCCCGGCACTGCCGATGTGCGAAAGTCTGGCTAGCTCAGCAGGGGCTGAGCAGCTCTGAGAAAGGAGCAGCAAAGCTCCGAAGGCATCAAGCACAGCGCAGCACAGGCTTGCTCCAGAAGGGAAGGAAGGGGGCTGGGAGCACTGGCTGCTTTCCAATGAGCATGGCACGCAGGTCACACCACCCAGTACCAGCCACTGCTGGAGGAACAGGCAGTCTGCGGCTCCCGGCGAGGAGGCTCTGCCGGCACAGGCAGGCTGTGGGATGGGGAGAGCCCAAGCTGGCTGCCAGCACAGCTTGCACAACCGCTGCTGCTCAGCTGTGGCGAAGGCAGCATGGCTGGAGCCCGTGTGCACATGCAGCTCTCACCGATTGAAGCTGGATCTGTCCCTCATCCACCCCGAGCACAAGCTAACCATGGCCCTGCCAAGGGAAAGGGCTCGGGGTAGCTGTTCCACTTGACTCAGTCCTCTAGCTATGCAGCAGAGGCTCCAGCTCAAATAAGCCCCACCATGTGCTAAGCATGGATCTGCACCTAGGACCCTCTCAGAGAGGTCAAGGCAATGCCTGCTCCTGTTAAACTAGCCCTGTACCTCCTGTTTTCAGACAACAAAGTCATCCCATTCACCCCTCTTTGACAATCACACTTTTATAAAGGCTGCCAGTCCTTTTGAATCCCCTTGGGATTGCCACTTGCTCTGGAGGGTTTGCTAGGTGCCACTAGTGACCCATCTTCCTATGAGAGATCTGCTGAGCTGATTTACATAATTTTCTTCACCATCACCTGTATTACTCATTTCATCAGCAAGCAGGTTGCTCTGCACTGTCTCACTAGGTACAGTGCCTCTCAGTTGTCTAGAAGCTTTGAATACACATTCGGAAACACTTTTTGATTTAAAAGTCTCCTGCCATTTCTGACCAGTAATTTCCCTTCTTGTGTGTGTGTGTGTATGCAGCTATTGTCTTCATTTCAGTTTCCCCTATAAAGTTGCTTGGCAGACGTTCCTTTTCATTTCTGCTCCATGCTTTGTCTCTAGAACTTCAACACAGGCATTTAATTCTGCTTTTGCTTGCAGATTATCTTAGCTCTAAGAGTTTCATGCACTGAGGTAGCTTTGTCAAAATATAAATATGTTTAGGAAATTATCAGGTTTTCACCTGTTCTAACTCTGGTGTTAAAATTGTTTACCAAAACCAGTAGGAGGATGAAAAATTTTAGTGCATAGCTAAAATTTGTTCATTGTCACACTGTGTTTACAATTAGATTAAATTATTTATAGCACTTTTAGTCTTACCAGAAATTGTTTGCTTTCTAGAGCTGCATTGTTTTGCATAGGTTTGCCCAGATTTTTCCATTTTGACTTTGCAAGTTTTGTTTCTCACATGTGAGATATGGGAGTTTTTTCCATCTGAGAATAATCAAATCTTATCATACCTCGACAAGACAGTTCTGCAGCTTTTCAAAGAAGACAGAGTGCTGAAAACCTTTCACAATTTTTCTTTCAGTGGTTTAATCAGAAACGTAGATGCTACAGGTTTTAAGCCACCAGAGATTCTTCTTGTTTCACTGGAGAATTTATTGGGAGAAAAAAAACCCAACAACCCACAACACAAAAATTACAAGACCCCCTCACTGTGTGTGTGTTTATATATATATATATATACATACACATATATATAAAAGGTAAAGAAAGGGTAATTATATACCTTACTCTATAGATGATGCTATCACTAGAAAGAGTAATACCAATGAATTCTTCTAGCTGAGCACCTCCAGGGAATACCCCCGACACTGCCTCGGAAGGGAAGTCCAGAAAGGTTAAAGGTCCTTGCAGGATTTGTTGTGGGATTATCTCTTTGTATTCTTTGCAACGAAACTAGAAGCCAATATCAAGCTGAATAGAGCATGGGAACATCTCTCTTTGTGGTATTGCTCTTTCAAAGTTTTGACTCATATTTTTACACCATGACGCCCACTGCAAGAAACTGTGAGGGGAATTTACCCAAGGGGAAAACACTGCACTTCATAACCTGTATTGTCCCAAAAAGCAGATCTGGCTTTGCTATGGAGGGCTTAATCTCCTGCTATCTTGTATCACGCTACTGCTCTGTTGCTCTACAGCCTTTCCTACTGAACCTCACCCCCAAGACCAGTTAATCACACACACAGAGACACAGGCTACCTACCCTCCCTTTTCCCCATTTTCTTTCTCTCCCCGCCCCACCGCGGGCTGCAGACCCCGCCGGCCTGAGGCTTCTGCAGCAGCTGCCGTGTTCCTGCGAATACCTCCCGGCCCCCCTCCTTTCCGGCTACTTCGGAGACAGCGGCACGTAGCTGCAAGACCGGGAATGTGACCAAGAAACGCTCGTTCAGACTAAGTACTTGCAGATGTGCAGCAGCCGCGAGCTGGAGGTCACAGCAGCGTCCAAAGCATTTGGGGGGTGGTGAGGGTGTTCTGGGTTTTTTTTTCGGTTTGGTTTTGGTTGGGTTTGTTGTTATATTTGCTTTGGGTTTTTTCGTTCAGCAGGGCGGTTGGAGGAGCAGCTTCCTGAAGGGTGCGACGCCTTAGCCTTTCCCTTTGCCCCAAGGAAGCGGCTTCCCCGTGCTCTGGCTCCTAGACCTGCGGCTGAGAGGCCAGGCCCAAACAGGAAATGCCACAGCCCTTGCTAATGCAGTCATGAGGCTTGGCACCCCCCGCGCGGCGGGAGCTCCGGGGGGAAGGCGGCCGCGGTTGGAGCTGGGGGCTCCCGGCCTGGAAGGAAGCGGCCCCGACAGCAGAAAGCAGCCGGGCCCAGCGGGGAAGACGGCACCCCCCGCACGCTGCAGCTCCCTCGGCGCCCCATGGGCTGCAGCAGGGCTAGGCCTGAACCTGTTCCCGCCGGAGCTCATGGCCTGGAGCCCAGACACGCCGCGGGGCCTTGAGCACCATTTGAAATCAGGGCGGCTCCGCCTCACCCCCCGCCTCCGCCTGCCGCCAGCCTCTCACGGCCGAGGGGAAGAGCTCGGGCGCCATAGCAACCCGCAGCCTCCCGTAGGCGGGGCCTGGGGGAGGGAAAGTCCGGGAGCCATGGCAACCGTGCAGCCAATCGCAGTGCCCAACGGCGGCTGCATGGTTTGGCTACAGCCAATAGCAACTGCCGTTTTCTTGCAGGCGTGGCTTCCAGGGAAGGCCGGCCCCTCAGCGGGTAGAAGGGGGAGGAAAGGAGTTCCTTTGTGGGCTTTGACAATGAAATGGCGGGCGGGGAGAGGCGGGGCTGATCTCCATGGTTGGCTCCGCCTCTCCCCCCCGAAGCGCGGAGCGGTCGGTGAGGCGGGAGCGGGGGGTTCTGCGCTGGTAGGCTGCGGCGACAGCAGTGGCGAGGCGGTGAGTAGAATAGACTGGGCTGGGTAGGGCGCGGTGCGGTGCCCTGGGCCCGCCCGCCTTTCCCGGGGCTGAGTAGGGGGGGGCCGGCGCGGGTGCGGAGTCGGTGCAGACGGAACTCGCGGAGGAGGGAGTCGATTCAAAATGGCGGCGGGCCGTTTGCCGGGAGCTCGGGACGATGAGTAACCGCCGCGTGGGGCGGTTCGCGGCCGGGGCTGGTGGGCCAAGGGAGCCTGTCTCTTCTCGGGCGCTGGGCACCCCTCTTCTCTATTCGGACTTTTCCTAAGCCGCTGCACCCGCACCGCCCGCGCCTCCACCTTCGTGCGCCCGTCCGGCGCCGCTGCCCGCCCACCGCTGGTGTGCTGTGACTGCGGACTTCCCCCGGCATCCCGGGCGACCGCATCGCGGCTTGATCCTTTCTCGGCCCCCGCTGTTTCCCCTCCCCAGCCTGTGTGCGCCCGAGCTCTCTCCCCGTCTCGGCCGCGCCCGCCGGGCACGCCTCTCTCCTCCGGCTCTGGCGGGCCGCCCTCCTGCCAGCCCCCCACACCCGCGCCCCTCAGCCGTCACGGCCTCGGGCGCCTGCATTTCCACGAGGTTTCTGTCCCGCGCACTGTCTGTTGTTGCTCCAGCTTCCTAGCCTGCCCTTCCTCTGAAATTAGTGCTCCTTCCCGAAGCCCTCGGGTCCTGCATAGTTCCCTGTTGTAGAGAGACACCCAACCCCCGTGCTTTATAGGAGCTATAGGTGCTTTTGTCCAGGTCCGAATAGGGATGTTTCTGGTCCTGTCAGCCCTCTGCTGTGTCTGATCCCAGCTTAGAACTGAGCATCACATATACATACCTAAAGAGGAATACCTGGCCTTCCATCTTCTTTTCACTATTACACATAGCTTTGACTTCTTCCTACAATTGTTATAAAGGCTCAGTTTTGGACTGAGGATTAGAGTGGTAAAGAGGAGATAGAACACGTTCTTGTATTCCCTTGCTAACTATCATCACAGTATTTATGGTTGTACAAAAAGAAACAGTACTCTGCTTAAGAGCTTCCAGCACTAGCCAAGGTAACTTGTCTGCTCTCTCATAAAGATGAACAGTATAAAATTTCTTGTTACCCCCACTCTTGGAATGTTACTTTTTCCATTAAGCACTCAAGTATATCTTTGGAAGCATATTACCACACGACTCTGAATTGAGTGCAAATCTGAAACGTTTAAGTTGATGCTTTAGTAAGAATTGGATCAGATTTCAAGCAGCTTCTTTGTAAAGCAGACTGGGAAATTGTCAATTCCAAAAGCAAAGCTTTTAATGAATCCCATAATACTATGCTCCCAAAACTCATTTTTCCTACCTTATTATGCTTCAGATAGCTGTTGTCTCCTTGACGGCTTTTTTTCTATAGATATTTAAAACAGTGGTTAAGTTTAACACACTTGATTTGGGCTCTTGACACTGATAATAGTGGAAGAAGGGAGATGATACAGCTCGTCTAGACAGAGTGGCCAAGTGCGTCTTGGACAGAGACAGATGCTGCTTGAAATGAGCAGCTGATTTTGAATACTGCGACTCTAAAGCAGCAGCAGTCTTACTGGCATGTACCAAGACGCTTTACACAATGGCTAATGCCTTTTTGGGTATGTTAATATATAAATCAATAGAGAAATGTACTTAAATTTTAATTAGGCTCTTGAGATGAGTGCTTGTTGGTGATAGTGCAGCAAAGTCCAGGGGAGGTCATTTATTTGCAAGGTTTTAGTTGCAACTTATGGCTATGAAGTTAATTTTTTTTTTAACTGTGAACGTAGGTTCTGAGGTATACTGGTATACCAGTTAATAGAATCTGAGGAGATAATTGCTGTGATGGGAATATTATTTATATTTATGCTAACAGAAGTCTACATGGTTTATTTATTGCTCTAGGGAAGAACCTCAAATCACATGCAGCAGGCCTTACATGTTATTAAATTCCATTGGAAAACAGTTTCCTTCTTTAGTGTGTTTAATAGATTACACACTGATCTGGACTGCCAACATCCGCCATGTCTTCAAGTTTGTGGATGTGATAATGGCTCTTTTACCCGTAACTCGTGTGTTCCATCAACAGTCCCCTCCTGTCTCAGTCTGCTATTCTGGGAGGTGAACAGCTAAGGCCTCTTCCTCTAAAATCATCAGGTATACAAAATAGCATCAGAAGATATTTTTAAGTTATTTTTCTCATGACTGCATCATCCTTATCAGTAGTTGTGGGAGGGAGGGGAGCTTGTTGGGTTGAGGTTTTTTAAACAAAGCTTATTCCCATGTCACCTACCCTAAAGTACAAAATGGGAATTCCGTTACCACGTAGAGGCTCTCAGAGAGATTGCATTTCAGGTATAGGATGTTCTGAAAGCATAACCAGAACTTTTATACCATCATCAAGGTGAAATACATTATTGATTTGATATCACAGTGTCTCACTAGAGAGTGGTGGTTCACATGCTTCATGACTGTCTTGAATATTGCTGTTTCTTTGCAAATGAGGATGAGACTATGGGTTGGTTAAAATACAGTTTCCATGACATAACAGCATTTCAGTCTGAATATTTTGAATAAAATAAAAATATTTTGGCTGGTTTGGGGTTTTTGTTTTATGAGGGTATTTTGTTTGTTTGTTTTGTGGCAGGTGTCATTGTTGAGGTATTTTAACAAGTGTGCAGTTTCTTGAAAAAAAAAAAAGTTTTCTGTGCGTACCTCGCCCTGCCCCCTGGTCCTCTGTCCAACATTTACTCCCCTCAAATCTGAGAGCACTCACCCTTCAAAAACAATTTACTACTAGCCACAATAGAAAACAAAAAGAAGTGTAAGGCCTTACCTACACCTGGGTTGGGGCAATCCCAGGCACAGCTACAGTTGGGCACAGAAAAGACTCAAAGCAGCCCTGCAGAGAAGGACTTGGTCGATGAGAAACTTAACATGAGTCAGCAGTATATGCTCGCAGCCCAGAAAGCCAACCGTATCCTGGGCTGCATCAAAAGGAGTGTAACCAGCAGGTCAAAGGAGGTGATCCTGCCCCTCTACTCTGCTCTTGTGAGACCTCACTTGGAGTATTGTGTGCAGTTCTGGTGTCCTCAACATAAAAAGGACATGGAACTGTTGGAACAAGTCCAGAGGAGGGCCACGAGGATGATCAGGGGACTGGAGCACCTCCTGTATGAAGATAGGCTGAGAAAGTTGGGGCTGTTCAGCCTGGAGAAGAGAAGGCTGCGTGGAGACCTCATAGCAGCCTTTCAGTATCTGAAGGGGGGCTATAGGGATGCTGGGGAGGGACTCTTCATTAGGGACTGTAGTGATAGGACACGGGTAATGGGTTCAAACTTGAACAGGCTAAGTTTAGATTGTATATAAGGAAGAAGTTCTTTACTGTAAGGGTAGTGAGGCACTGGAGTGGGTTGCCCAAGGAAGTTGTGAATGCTCCATCCCTGGCAGTGTTCAAGGCAGGCTGGACAGAGCCTTGGGTGACATGGTTTAGTGTGAGGTGTCCCTGCCCATGGCAGCAGGGTTGGAACTTGATGATCTTAAGGTCGTTTCCAACCCTAAGTGTTCTATGATTCCATGTGTATATGCATCCTCTTGTTTCTTTTCTAGGTAGGTATTTCAGTTGCAGACGCTGAACTGTCTTGTACTGTACAGACACATCTAGAAAAGTATCTCAGTTGTTGTCATATTTTATCGTATAAGCTTTTGTAGCCTGTTGAAACAGCTTTTTGTTTCAGTATTTAAAGGAATTGTTGCATGTGTTTGGTAGTTGTAGTTGGTATATCAAATCTTATTTCATCTTAAATGTATTTTAAAAACTCAGCCTTCATAGCTACAGTATTTTAATTACTGTCATTACTTTCATTATTGTCATCTTTCAAAGTAAATCTTAGTCATAAAGTGTCTGTGCTGGTAAAGGAAAATTCTCCCTGGTTTTATTATGTTTCGACTTTGTGTGTGCTTGCTCTTTTTCTGTAGATGCTACAGAGAGACATGTTTTTGTACAACAGAGGTGAATCCTGCATAGTTTTGTGACGAAAGTAATGAGGACTTGCTTTCAGTATGCTTTTGAGCATGTTTAAATTTTTCAGATGATCTCTAAAGATTTTGTTTGCTCTTTAAATAGCAAAGGTGTAGGGGCAAGGGAGAGGCTAGTCGGAAGGTCAGGGTAATAACCTGGGACTAGACAAGCAGTTTCCTTCTCCTATTGCAAATTTTTGGGATATTGTTGGGCGAACCACCTCTGTGCTCTAGCTGTAAATTTGGTTTAATATACTATTCAAGTTTGTAGGAGTGTTGTGAAAATAGAGCAGTTGAAGGGAAGTGTGTAAGATCTGGAAATGGGAAACTATTTTGTCTTGCATCTCCTGTACTTGCCTGACTTCTTTCTTCCCGGTACTTGGTAGGTGGTGCTCTAACTTTTACTGTATGGACTCTTGCTCAGTAGCATGGGAGAAGAGGAAGGACTACATCAAACGCAATTACTGGTATGTAATACTATGCTTCTTAAATGAAGCTGTAATATTTTGTGTGGTCTCAGGAACAGGGTGACAACTGTTTTTATGATGCAAGTTACTGATTGCAAGTGTTACAGCAAAAAAATCCAGTGAGTCCTGTGGCAGGAGTATCTTTAAGTATCCATAAACATTTTTTCCCCTGCTTGTACACACCCAAGTGTGTGTGATGTATTAGGTTTTCATCTTTTCTGCTGTGTTCTGTTCTTCTGTTGGTGTGTCTTAGAAGGCATTTAAATGCCGAATAGTAGATGTATCAGAACCAGCTTAACATTCAAAATGCTAATTATTCTTCACAAAAATATAAGTTATAATAAAAGAAGATTCAAACTCTGCACAAAGTGTTTAATTTTTGATTATATAATCATACACAGTCAATTAGTAGTGCCAAAAGATGTCTCTAGAGGTAAAGTTTTACATGGTGGGAGGTCTGTGTGTTTAGAAATTACTGTATGTAGGACTTTAGGAAAATTAAATGGGATGTCCTCCAGTAGGAGATTAGCTGGAAAAGGCATTATCAAGTAAAAATTTGGGTTGTATTTAATGGGAGTAATGCAAATATGTTAGATTACAGAATTAAAAATGAAAAGAAACTTCCAAAGCATTTAATATATTGGTAAATCAGGGATAGGTTTTGAAAAGTTTATGAAAAATGACCATAAGACCAAGTCTATATTGTAGTCTCTGCATATTACAGTGTCTACATATTATGATTTCTAAGGAGTTTTGTACCTTTAGTAGAAAGAATCTTCAAGAGTCAGGAAATCAAAAAAAGGTTTATCCATGGATATATACAGCAATGTAAGAAGCATTGTACAGAGTCAAACCAAATGTTTATATAGCTGCTGTGCTGTCACCAGGTTTTCAGAGTAGATAAGTATGTAATGTATTTTGAAAGGAACGATGTTGCACTTTGGATTTTTAGTGACTGAAAAAGCTGAAAGAGCTCTCTGAAAATATGTGGAACATACCATAGCAACCAGAAAAGCAAGGCAGAGATTAGGGCTTACCGAGGGAAATGGAAAACTATACCGAAAGACACTGCAATAGTATTTTGGGTTTATCAGCTTTTAGTTGAAAAACGTTGTTTTGTTTGGGTCACTGCATTTAAAAAAAAATAAAAAATAAAAAATCCCCAAATACTGGCCAAAGAGGAATTCTAAGCAGGGAACGCTTAGAAGGGACATAACAAAAGTGAAGAAATGTAAAAATCAACTCCTAGCTTCATTTTCCACCTAGGTTTTAGAAGACTAAAAGAAATGAGGTCTACTACATTAAAAAAAAAAAAAAGAAAAAAGAGAAAAGAGAGAGAGAGCTTACTCTTATTTCAAGAGATCATCTGCTGTATGTGCATGGGGCAGTGTTCTCAAAATGAGTGCAAATCAGAACAAGACCTGGAGGCTAGTGCTTCACAGTCATACCTTGGGCAATTCAGCAAGTGATTTTTAGATGAGGTGTAAATAACGAGAAGCCTGCATGCATCCCACTTTCTAGCTGGGGAACTTAAAACCAGGAATACAGGATTTTTGCTTTATTATAGTCGACTGTGAAAGTACAGAAGCCCATAGAGAGGGTGGCTGTGCCTATCCCTACGCACTTGCACAATTCATGTTGGAATTACACAGTTAATTTACTCACCTGAGTAAGGGAACCAGAAGGACTGCTTTAGGCACCTCAGTTGAATGTCTCAAGTTCTAAGGAACAAATCTAGATCTTACTCTCTCTGTAGAGAAAATAACCTTTTCAAGTATACTGCACATGCTGTTTTTTTCATGTTCCTCTGTTAGGCATGTTGATGTTCTGGAGAGGTCAAATCTTTTGAAGATGGTGTGCCAGGCTGTATTTTTATTTCCAAAATTAGAGGTTAAGCATGCCAGTAGAAACTCAGGAGGAGGAAGGAGAAGCTGCCTCTCCAGTAAGTGAAATACAGCCGTTGAGATGTTTGCTTCTGTGCGAAGCAGTGGCTCCTGACTTCCATCAAGTGTGGAGCTTAATGGGAGCCAGGAGCCTGGGAGCCCTTGCCACTCTCCGATGCCATGACTTGTGGACCTGCTCACCCCTGGTTCCCGAGTGCCGTCTTTGGGACCCAGTCTTGACCCCTGTTGTACCACACTGGCCATTCTGTAACCTGGTATGACAATTCTGACGTTTCTATCTTAAAAAAATTTGCTGTTTAAGATAAGATTGTTATGTTTTGGTTTTCAGTCCTTCCTTACCCCCTCTTGAGCTGTTGGCTTTGTACAATAATTTTTTATTTTTTATTTTTTTTTTAACAGGACACAATGTTTGTGCGAGGATTAAAGAGAAAATGTTTTGATGGTGAAGAAGACATTGAAGGAACTCTGGCTGGTATTAAGGCTATTCCTTCATATAATCTTCAACGGCAGTCACTTTTAGATATGTCCTTGGTTAAACTTCAGCTGTGTCACATGCTGGTTGAACCTAACCTTTGCCGTTCGGTACTTATAGCCAACACGGTACGGCAGATCCAAGAGGAAATGACCCAAGATGGGACTTGGCAGATGATAAACACACAGAGTACAGGGCAGGCATCCCTGGATCGTCTTGTTTCAACAGATATCCTTTGTCGTTCATCTAGGGAACAAGCTGAGGGAAAGCATGTTCCAGGCTATAGTACTTTCAATAAGGACTTTGGGGGTGATCAGGCACAAGATAATTCAGAAACTATGTCAACAGTCTCTTCAGTTCAAGCTCCGAGAAACCTGCAGAGCAATGTGTGGGAAATGGAGAACCCACAAGAAAATAAAGGAAACTTTCAAAAATCATTAGATCAAATATTTGAGACACTGGAAAATAAAAGTCCTAATTCTGTTGAAGATCTGTTTTCAGAAGTTGACAACTCTTACTATGATCTTGATACTATGTTAACAGGCATGATGAGCAACACAAAAATGGGACACTGTGATGGGCTGGAAACATTTTCTTCTCCAACAACTACGGCTTCTAACACTAATTGTAAATCTGATCTTAATGAGCTTGATCATATTGTGGAAATCCTTGTTGAATCCTGAAACTCCTTACCTAGGAGATAAAGGTCTGTTAATGGGAAAAAAAGACTGGAAAGCTGTTTCCACAGTTCTATCAAATCTGCACGTGTATTTTACAAATATCTATATATTATATAGATACATATATTAAAAAGCACTTCATATTGCAAAGTAGTGTTAACTCTTAAAGTTAACTTGCAACTTGTAGTGTAATAAGCCAATCTGTTGTCCATTGAACTGTAAGTACATACAGTAAATGTGGTTTTAAGTTTTTGGTCCGAGGCTCTTGAAATTGGGATCCTTCTACCTATTTGTTTTAGCCTTTGATGGAGGATATGCTCAGTGAGAGGGATTCTCTCATCTTTTTCTTACACTTCGTCCAGTAAAAATGGTAATAAATGGAGACAAGTTGGATAACTGGTTTCCTATTTTCTGCCAGTTTCCACTTTGTTATATCACAGAACTCCTGCCATATCTGCTGCTTCTGTTCTAAGTCGCTACATGGCTCTTAAAGAGCAGTATGCAATAGTTCCTGTTATCCTAGCTAGCTTATTCTGGTTTTTTTGCTACAATTTTTACTTCAAAAATAGTTTTAAAGTGTTTATTGGTGTTTAGATTTTTTCAGGTATTTTCCTAAAATATATTTTTACTACAGATGTTATGTCAGCTGCTAACTTAGTAACTTTTGATCATACCTGCAGTTGATGTATTTTTTGAAAGGTTTTCAAAAAGGGATGTTTTTTTTTACTGTGAGCTACCCAATGTAGTTCAGTAAAGTGTATATAACTGTAAATACATGATTTTATACTTTACATTAAAATGTAAGAGCTGTTTTCATTATTCTGTTTTATAGAGTAGTACTTTACTAATTTGAGAATTGTACAATTATGCTTTTCAAGCCCCATATACGTCAGTATCATTAGAAGAGCTTTGATCCAGCTAGATAGTTAATTCACTTCAGACCATACTTTTTGTTAACTATAAACCTAAATTACATAGGTTTTTATTTATGTATATTTATATGTAAATGTCATCAAGTGAGTTGTTTTATCACTGAGGTATACCATCAAATATTTGCTCATATGGGTTAGCTCTCTTGCACTACTTACTATAAAAAGTATTACTAATGGCCTTTAGATCTCAACTGATATGTCATGATGTCTCGTCATAATTAATATGCTTCACTCTTACCAAGGGTTTCCTCTTGCCTTATTTTAATAACAAAGATAATACAACATGGGCCGGTGTTCTTCTCTTCAAGTACGTACATTCATTGTAAAGTGTATATAATTAAGCTAAAGTTTATGGGACATTTTCAGGGGAAAGGGATAGGTGTACGGTTTTGTTCTAGAATGACAAATGTTTACCTTTGCAAATTGGTACTGGGGAAGAGCCCCAAAATAAAGTGGGGTAGACAAGAAGGGGGGGAAAGATTCTTTTTTTCTGGAATGCGTTAGCGTTCACTGTGCTAACACAGGGGAAGACAACTGCTAGTAATTTAGTTGTTTTCTGTAGTCTTGAACCAAGCAAGTTGCAGAACATGGAGGGTACCTTTCTGCATCTGACAGGCCTTTCCTTCTCACAAGTGATCTTACCTCCTACACATGATCCTCTTCCGATTCTCAAACCCCTAAAAAGGGGAGGGTGGGGACAAGGGGGCATTAAGGTCATTTGGAGCCCCCAGCATAAGAAGGATGTAGGCCTGTTGGAGCATCTCCAAAGGATGGTCATAAAAATGTGATATATATATATACAGTATACTGGGCTGCATCAAAGTGTGACTCACCAGTCCGAGGAGGTGATCCTGCCCCTCTACTCTGCTCTTGTGAGACCCCCACTTGGAGTACTGTGTACAGGTCTACACAGTACTCGACCTAAGAGGGACATGGAGCTGTTGGAGCAAGTCCAGAGGAGGGCCACAAGCATGATCGGGGACTGGAGCACCTCCCATATGAAGACAGGCTGAGAAAGTTGGGGCTGATCAGCCTGGAGAAGATAAGGCCACGTGGAGACCTCATAGCAGCCTTCAAGTATCTGAAGGGGGGCTTTAGAGATGCTGGGGAGGGACTCATCATTAGGGACTGTAGTGACAGGACAAGGGGTAACGGATTCAAACTTAAACGGGAAGATTAGCTTGGATATAAGGAAAAATATTGTGAGGGTGATGACGTACTGGGATGTGTTGCTCAAAGAAGTAAATGCTCCATCCCTGGCAGTGTTCAAGGCCAAGGCTGAACAGGGCTTTGAGCAGCCTGGTGGGTTGGAACTAATGATCTAAAGGTCCCTTCCAACTCAGACCATTCTATGATTCTGACATTTCACTGTCGCCTCCACAAAAGGAGACTGCTGAACTTAAAAGAGTTTCAACAAGAACTTTAGAAGCATCTGGTTTGGGAAAAAACGGTATCTGCTAAATGTTTCAAACTTGCTAGTTGAATGCATATTGACTCAGTCGAATGACACCACGCAATTGGTGTGTCTTCAGTGAATTTGAACATGTTTCTTGCAATACATCAGATTATCCATAGTTGCTGTAGTAGTTGAATGTTGCTTCCTCAATTAAAGCTTGATTAATAACTTCATATTAACAGATGAAATACCATATAGACACTTGCCAGTTCAGTCCATATGATGTGGCTGGGACCAAAGAAACAAGACTGTATTACATGTTTTAATTAATAGAGATACCACATAACTGAAAGGTGCTGCAATCGTGCATCCTGTTTCAGTAGGACACAAATATTAATATGAACTGTCATATCTCACAGGGAAATAACAGTCTTTTATTTGGCAGTGTTTGTGGCAGCAACAGATATTCCTTCAAAATATTTTTTCTTGATGCTTCTCTGTGTGTGAATAGGTCCTTTGAATTGGGCAGCAGATGCTTTAAGGTAAAGCAGAAAGCCAGGCAATTTCAAGATTTATAAAGGGAACGTAAGTGTTGAGTTGAATAACTGAATATCTCGTCCCTCTGGGAAAGTTCCCCAAATCTGCTCTGAAATGTGGTTGAAAACGCACAGGTCTGAACAGCTGTGGGTGTTGCTCTCTGCCCCTCCTCACCCTCCATTCATTCAATGAGCAATTGCATGTTAAGGTATTTAAAAAGATGCTCTCCCCTGCTCTCTTAGCATGCATTAATCTCATGTTACAGGTAGGAATTTGTTTAATTTACTTATAACTTTTAAATTATGTGGGAAATGCATGTGGGGGTGTGTGTATAAGTACATATCTTGTATCTTGCATCTTGCTGTATGAAGCATCTAGCCAGATGCATTTCTTTGCTGAGGAAGCTGTGCCTAGTTAGGGCAATTTGTAGAGACTACTTGGCTTAACGGGAAAAGGATTAAGTAAGTATGCATTTATGTAGTTAAGCATTTAAACAGAAATATATATCCTGTTTTATTATGTTCTTAAAACTTATGCCAAACCTTATGTGCTTTCACATGCCTGGTATCTTGGCTCAGGCCTTCAGCAGGTATAATAATTTGTATTGCTGAAACTTGCACTGTCACTGTTCAGAACTGATGTGTGCCTGGAACTGATCTGACTTTGCAAGGACTGGTCAGGGTAAAATCGGCTAGTCTCCCTGCAGCTTTCTTGGCATGCTTCAGTCTAATTCAGCTGCTCATGCTGGGTAACTGCAATTCTGTGTTGGTTTGGGGTTTTGTGTGTGCTTTGTGTGGGTTGTTTTTGTTGGGTTGTTTTTTTTTTTCGGGGAGGGGGAAGAGGGAGTAGGATGTTTATTTAAAAAAACCCACCAACCTTTATTTTTCTGCCTTGCATTGTCATTTTTTTGCTAGTCCAAAGAGGTTTTAGTTACACATGCATCACTTAAAGGTTAATATAGTACACCTCCCATCTATGTATTCTTCTAAGATGCTGAGAGCCATCAGAAATAATAGGATGTCTCTGAGATGGTGAATTTTAAATTACTTGTTTTGTGAACTGTTACTACAAATGGTGAGAGAAGATACTTGCTGGTGGTGATATAATTAATTTCTACATATAAATGGGCAATAATCTAACCTCTGCTAAATTAGGAAAGGCTTCTGTCAGATTTTCCTACCACTTCTAGTATCCTTTTTTCTTTTATGTGCTCCTAGAGAAAAGAATCATGAAACTTGCGGTGTACTTGGCACTGTGTCTGAAACAAGGCTGTTGGTCTGAATGACGTAACTCAGCTGCAGACTTGCACAAAAGAAAGTACTTTCAAGCAAATAGCTAACATCAACTCTGCTTCCTTTTCAGGTAACCTTGAATATTTGTCCCTTCTGCCTCTGTGCCTGTAGGTTTATTTCTCCTTCTCCTTTTCCAGAATATGCAGAAGATATCAAGCTTCTAAAGCTTGGGCTTTCTGCAAATGCAAAAACCGTGAGAACCAGGCTGCATTAACGCTTGTGCACATGAAGGCTTGTCTGCTTATTGCTTCCCTGTTTCTTTGGTGTTTACTGGTTGGCTTTTTTTAATCCCCACTCTCTTCCATAGCTCTGTGAGTTGATCTAGCAGATGTTGCCTGTGTCTGTGAATGTAGCCTTATTTGCTTAAAGGACAGATTTGGTAAACAAGAAGAGGGAGTTTTTTCTCTGATGAAAAGCTCCATTCCAGACTGCCTCAGAGGTACAGCAGTGAGGGGGTTCAGCCTTGAGCATGTTAGGGATTCATGTGTGAGCCTTTACCCAAGCCAGGAATTACCTGTTCTCGAAGCTGTACTTAGACTGTTTCTGAAGTCTCAGGTATGTCTGGACTTCTTTAGTAAGCATTTTCAAAAACACTATTCCAAATTGACTGATAGTATAGTTTTATATTGTAATTATCCAACTACTGTAGTTGTCTTTTGCGTCAGATTATTGATTTGAGTGTATGACTGCTTTACAGTTATGCAACTTATTACATGTTCCCATCTAACTAACTAAACTTGTGTAAAAAGCTAGGATGAAAAAAAGAATCTATTTATTTACTGACATATAGGACAAGACAAATAAAAATGCTTTCAAAAGTGACTTCTGTTCAAAGTCAAAGTATGATTATGTCTCAGGCCTACAGTGTATAGTCCCTAATGCAAAAATCATGACTGATCATGACAAAGTTTGATTGCTCATCAACTCAAATGAGTGTGATTTCACACTATGTGACTAATACTAAAAGTACAAAAACACCGAGTTCCAAAGAAATGAAATACACATTTTAGGAACATATGTATTTTTGTTAATTTGGCTTATTCAGCTATAAGCTTTCACAAGGACTGTCTAAACTCCTTTGGTTTCTCTTGCAAAGTTGACAGTTAAGATAAATTTTCTTGTTTTTTCAAGGAACTTAACACAAAGAGATGAAATCTCGCTGAATTATTTAAATTGTCAGAAAAGAGATTTACTTCAGATGCAGTGATTTGAGGGTATTTTTAAGCCAGTGAAAAGTACTAAAAAATTCATTATCTGACATGGTTTTCATAATTTTGTATGGTAGATTTAAAAAAAAAACAAAACAATTACTCCTTTGCTTAACCAAGATTCCCCCAAAATTAGTGGTTTATGACCTGAAGAGTTACTGTGTTGATGCACAACCAGTGTTGTTGGCAGGAAAATCTAAAGGTAGAGGCAACTTTGCATTGCAGGGAGAACATTCAGTAATTTCAGTGGTTATCTTTTTAGGGAAGAACAATTAAAGATCCAGGTAATTACATGACTTCTTGCAAAAATAGAAATAAAAAGAAATGGTATCCACATGCATGCTGTGTTTCGAAGTCCCGTAAGAGTATGTGGGAAGTGGCAAGTACATACTGCAACAGTAAAATCCTACAACAAAGCAGCAGTATATTGTATTTTTCTTGTGCCAACTACAGATAAGTTTTGGAGATCAAGACAGTGTAATGTAACTCTAAGCTTAGGTTGTGAAAGTTTCCAAAGCAGGACTACTGAAGGGAAAAGCAGGTATGTTGAAAAAAAAAAAAAACAAAACAAAACCCCACTAAAACAAAACCCCAAAAGAGTTTTAATACTCAGAGGAGAAAAACAGTACTAACAACAAAGTTGCTTTTCAGTGTCAGAGATCATCACCGAGAGATGTGCTGCATATAAAAAGTACTGGATGTTGGGATTTTTTTTGTTGACCTGTGAGCTCACTGAAGTTTAAGATAAAATGGCTGAATGGTTATTTGTTTTAATTGAAGCCTAGTAACATCTGGTTTGCTTGAAGGGTATAGGGAGAAAGTTCTTTTTCTTGTAAATTGTGATTCTTTTGACAAAATAGAATAATGGCTTGTTTAG